TGGGCAGCCGGCCTGCCCTGGATGGCGGCGCGCTGGCGGTTGGTGCTGTCCTGCCCTGCCTGCAGTATGCAAATTAGCCGCCATCCTTGTTGGCAGTTAATTTGCATATCACGCTGATTAGCCAATGGGAGGCGTAGCGAAGGTACAGTCAATTACCATGTTTGTCCATTATTAGATTAGATATGGTCTGAGAAAGGCAAGGAGGGCTTCAACTAAGACACAGTAGGAAGGAAGAAACAATAATAGTTGAGTAGACAAGATGGTGGGATGGATTATATGTGAGGATTAAAATAAAAGGAGCAGTATAATGTTAACTCCCATATTTCTCCCTGAGCAACTGGAGAGAGGGTGTAAATGAGAAAGAACAGGTTTGAGGAGGTGAAAGTTCAGTTGGGGTATGCTAAATTTGAGGTGACTGTGGGATATCCAGGTGGATATATCCATTATACTATCCTATCTAATAATAGACAAACAGGGTAATTGACCGTACCTTCGCTACGCCTCCCATCGGCTAATCAGCATGATATGCAAATTAACCGCCAACAAAGATGGCGGTTAATTTGCATACATACATAGGCGCCCAGTGGCTATCGGCTATCGGAACCTGCAATCAGAGCTGAGAGGTCCCCTGCCCAGGACTGACGCCTCGGTCAGAAGCGTTAGGCCTGGGCATGGGCGGAGCTGGGATGGTGGGGAGCAGGGGCAGAGCCTGAGGGCTCCCAGTATGTGATAGGGGGCAAGCTGGGCTGAGGGATCCCCCCCTCCAGTGCACAAATTTTTGTGCACCGGGCCTCTAGTCCTATATAATAAAAGACTAATATACAAATCGATCGAACAGTGGAACTACCGGTCGCTATGTTGTGACTGACCACCAGGAGGCAGACGCTCGATGCAGGAGCTGCTCCCTGGTGGTCAGTGCACTCCTACAGGGGGAGTGCTGCTCAGCCAGAAGCCAGGCTCACGGCTGGTGAGCACAGTGGTGGTGGAGGGAGCCTCTCCCGCCTCACAGCAGTACTAAGGATGTCCAACTGTCAGTCAGACATCCCCCGAGGGCTCCTGGACTGCGAGAGGGCACGATTTTCATGCAACAGGCCTCTAATTGAAAATAAAAATCTTGCAATCAGGAAAGACTTCTGGCTAGAGATACATATGAAAAGCCATTGCCATCTGAGTGGTAGTTAAATTTGTGAGCATGAATACAATTCCTCAAATAAAGTGTGTAAAATAAGAAGCACCTAAATAACAGAATTCAGTTATACATGTTTTAATGGGTAACACTAAGAGATAATAAAGATCAGAAAAGCAAGAGAAATTTGGTGTCACAAGAGTCTCAGAATCAGAAAAAGGGAATAGTTTATAGTGATACATGCCATAGAAAAATCAAATAAGATAAATGCTGGAAAGAGCCCATCAAATTCTACTAAAATTTTATCAATATAGTTTGGGAAGTTGCATTGGTGGAGAAGAAATGCCATTTAGAAATTAAGAGTGAGATGAGAATATGGAAAGTTCAATGTAAATTACTACTTTAAATCACTTAGCTATGAAAGGATGATAAGGCCATAAGGAGGTCTTAAGATCAAGAAAGCCTTACCTGGTTTGGCTCAGTGGATAGAGCCTCAGCCTGCAGACTGAAGGGTCCCAGGTTCGATTCCGGACAAGGGCACATGCCCAGGTTGTGGGCTCAATCCCCAGTAGGGATGTATATATATATTGATTGTATGTGTATATATGTATGTATATATATACATACATATCTATATTAAAATAATAAGATCAAGAAAGATTGTCATTTTTCAGGTAGGCAAAACAAAACAAAAGACTATTTATAGAACAAGGTTCTTGATCCAAAGAACAGATTAGTCTTGGAAACAACTAAATACATATATTACTCTAAAGAAGAGAGTAGATACAGGTGTAGGGCTGATGTAGGTGAGTTGCAAAGTCAGTAGGGACAAAGACAAAACGTGGAAAGATTCCTACCTGTTAGTCTCCACTTACTCTATGAATTTGATACTAAGACATTAGATTCAGTCAGGGAACCAGATTTTTAAAAATTGTTAAATGAGCTTTGTGCACTGCTGGTAGGAATGTAAAATGGCACAGCCTCTATGGAAAGCAACAGGGTGGTTCCTCAAAAAAATATCATACAATCCAAAATTGGGTAAATACCCAAAAGAATTGAAAGCAGGGACACAACTAGATATTTGTACATCTATGTTCATAGAAATATTATTCTTAATAGCCAAAAGATGGGAGCAACCCAAATGTCCATTGATGAATAAAAACATAAACAAAGCATTATATGTACACACACACACACACACACACACACACGTATATAGCATGGGACATATATACCATGGTTTACATATATATAATGAAATGTTATTTAGCCTTAAAAAGGGAAGGAAAGTCTGACATATGTTACAACATGAATGAACCTTGAAGATATTATGCTAAGTGACATAAGCCAGTCACAAAAGGACAAATACTCCACTCAGATGAGGTACTTGTAGCAGTCAAATTCATAGATACAGAAAGAAGAATGGCAGTTGCCAGGAGCTGGGGAAAGGGAACAATGGAGAGTTATACAGTTTAATGGGCATAAAATTTCAGTTTTGCAAGATGAAGAAGGCTCTGGAGATGGATGGTGGTGATGATCACACAACAATATCAACATACTTAATGCTATAGAACTATATACTCAAATGGTTAGAAAAGTGACTTTTATGTTATGTATATTTTACACAATTAAAAAAGAAATAATGATTTTTTAAAATTGGGAAATGAGAAAAGTTATTATTGGTTGCTCTTAAAAAATGAAAAAGTAATATGATTGGAGACAAATAACTATTGAAGAGAGGTGTTAGTGCAAGGATGTAAATTTGTAATGTAGTATTTTTTCACAGAATATGGTTTGGCCTGGATTATGATGGGAAGGTAAGAAACTGAGAATCCTGTTGAAAGAGCAGTGGTTTGGGTAAATTATGGAATATAGTCACATGAAGAAAAATGGAAAGTAAGAAGTAAATACACTAGGAGAAAAGGGAGGAGTCAAGAATTGGCATTCTTGCCCTAACCAGTTTGGCTCAGTGGATAGAGTGTCCAGCCTGCAGACTGAAGGGTCCCAGGTTCCATTCCGGTCAAGGGCATGTACCTTGTTTGCGGGCATATCCCCAGTAGGGGGTGTGCAGGAGGCAGCTGATCAATGTTTCTCTCTCATCGATGTTTCTAACTCTCTATCCCTCTCTCTTCTTCTCTGTAAAAAACCAATAAAATATATTTTTTAAAAAAGAACTGGCATTCTTAATGAGGCTGAAAAGCAGGTGTAGAGTGAAAAGTGGTGGAATGAGAGTACTGAAGGGACAGGTACATGCAATCATAATGAAGAAAAATAGCATTTAAAAGGTAGAGCAGTTCCAGGTGATGAAAAGTTTGCCGTTTACCTCTATGCAACCCTGTCCAGAAGTGACATGGAAATGTTGAATGTGTCCAGATTATCAGAAGTAAGGAAACCAAGAGACTGTGTTTTCATCCAATAGATATTGAATTATCCACGATGATGTGAAGGATTAGAGCAAAGGAAAATCCAAATGCCAATGTGTTCAATCATTCTAGAAAAATGACCTAAATATTAGTAGATTAAAACCATAAGGAGTGTAGAGGGTAGTTTAGCCAAATTACACAATTCTGAAAATTGGAGAGATGTTTACACAAGAATGGAAATCACGAGTCCAATGTTGGTGGTGAGTAAATAAAAACCTTCCTTTTTCCCAGCATCTGTCTGAAAATAAGAGAGTTTTGGGAGATACTCAGATAATTCTTCATCATACTGATGATTACATTAGCAACAATACCTTCAATATCTTTTAGGTAACAGTTGAAGTTTTTCATACTTGTTTTCCATTATTGTATTTTATATCCAAAGACATAGACTGATATCTTTTATTTAAATAAATGATTAGAGAACACAAAAATATTCCACACTAGAATCCTTTTAATGTTTAAATACTGTTTTTCTCCTTTTTCTGTCCCTCCCTAACTTTATTACAGAAGAAAAAATGTAGTATTCATCTTTGAATTATAGTAATTGTACATATTCTTTTTCTTTCTAGGGTGACTCTGGTGGACCTCTGGTTATAGCAGATCATAAAGGCACTTGGTTCCTTGTTGGCATTGTAAGCTGGGGAGATGAATGTGCTCTTCCAAACAAGCCTGGCGTCTACACTCGAGTAGCCTACTATCGAGACTGGATCACAGCCAAAACTGGTCTCTAGTGCAGAAGTTCTTTGTTCTAGTAGATTAAAGCTTGATGATCATATGCTTGTTAAATGTTTGTAATTCCCAAACTACATTTAACTAGGAATCATTTTATGCATTAATGTTGCAAATTTTAAAATACTCAATTTTAGAATTATGAAAGCTTCTTGAATATAGACTTTAACAAATATTTAGTGAAAATAATGGCACAGACATACAACTTCCTCTTTTGCCCCTTTCCAGACTGAAGACTATTATATGAGTAAATATGGATTATAGCTAAGGAGGGCTTCACTGCTGATTTGCAGATCCTTGAGAAATTATAAAGTTGGTGTTCGCAATAAACTTTCTCCTGAGTGTATAAATAATGCCCTGCTGACAGGCATGTGGATTCCACAAGATCAACATATTGACAGGTTGTAGCCTAGTGAGTTTCCCAGGAAAATCTGTCTACCTGTGTTTTTTTTCTATTTTGTGCCAGTGCTAACCCCCTTTCTATTTTTGGCTTCTTCACCTTGAGTGACACAAAAGAGCATGATAATCCCATGGAGTGCATTGAACGGATCTTGGTGACTGTTGATTTGTCCCTATTTTTCTTTCATATGAAAGCGAGGCCAGAAGATGGTTCTCACATATAAATATATTAGTAAAATTATCCTCAGACATGACAGTCTTGAATAGACTATGCAAGTAATGCCAAATTCCTCAATAACACAAATAATCAACCAGAATAAATAATATGGAAATTTGGTTCCACTTCGCTTTCCCAATCAGAAACATCCTAACCAACTTCTGAATCAATTCCATTTTATTCAAAATTGTATTACTTTACAACAAAGATGTCATACTTTTGTGTGTAAATTGTCTTAATTAGAGATTTTGCATAAAGCAATGTCATCCTATGTATAATCTGGTATCTTGCCTGGAAAGCAAGATGGACTAATGACTTAAGCCACCACTGCTCTTCTTTACCTAATTTTTATATAGAAAATGTATAAAAATCCTATGGGAAGAAGTACAAACACTTAACTTTTATTTTTTAAAATAATCTGATCTGAAGATAGGCATGGTAGGTAAGCACATTTATGAAGTATGCCACTTCCAACTAGGGATGGTTTAAGTGAACCAACCTACATAATGATATATTAGATGATGATAGACTGCCTTTTCCTCCCTATAGAGAGAAAAAAAACCCACAATAAGTAATGTCAGTTATAATGGTGCCTTCTGCCCTGGGCAACAGTGTCATAACTACTGGGTATCTTCAGATTCAGGAATTTCTGCTATAATTAGTAATGGCAAGATTTCATGATGAGAACTTTCAAATAATAGTGAAAACTCAATACATTAAATATAAATAAGTTATTACCAAGTTTATTAAATAGATAAATTAAATATTATACAAATAACACCACAAGTACCGTGTGTTGAAGTCTACTTTTTCAGTTAATCCCTCCTTACTGGTAAACTAGTAATATTTTAATGAATTTATAAGGTTCATATCTCAGTTGGTTTCTTCTTTTACCTGTTTAAACCCCATGCCTTTGTGACTGCTACCATCTGAGTTACTTGGCATCTCTTTCAGCACCTTTGTGATTTTACTCAGCTGAGGCTCACAGAGACTCCTTTGTCAGGTAAAACCTAGTTTTATTAGATTACTTACTACAGATTCATATTTCCACTTAGATCTATTATTTCTTTCATTTTTCCTCATACTGATGCTTTTCAGAATCCTTTGCTAAGTTTAGTATCTTTGTTTATGCCACTGGAAAATATATTTACCATTGTTCAGACTCTTTCCTGCATAATTTGTTGAGTTCTCCTCAGAAGATCTCAGAGCGTAAGTGCAAAAGACTGACTTCCTCAGAGATTTTAACTAACAAGATTTTTCACTAAAAAAAAACAATACAAAACAAAACCTTTCTAAATAGTTTCATTTTCATGGATCCTTATTAAAAAAAAAAAAAGAGCCATAGTGCATTCATTTTCAAGTGCTAGTAAAAAGAATAGCCTTATCACATTCTCTTTTAACCATTCACTGTGTGGGCATCTATAATAATGAAAGCGTAATATGCAAATCAACTGAACAACTGAACAGCAGAACAACCATCTGGACAACCTTCCAAACAACCACCCTATGACAAGCACGCACTGGCGCCAGGCCAGCCAAGGCAGGTGCAATGCGATTGGTCAGGGGGCCCCACCATTGCTCCAAAGTCACCTTGGATAGGGAGGCTTAGGCCACCCTCTGTGGGGCGATCAATGGGGGGTTCCGCAATCGATCACCCCAAAGAGGGAGGCCCAGGCTACCTGGCCAGTGGCACTGTGGCGGGTGGGCAGGGCCACCCTCTGCACGGTGATTCATTGTGGAGCCCTGGTGGGTGGACACCCCACAGAGGGAGGCCCAGGCCAACCAGCTGGCAGCGCTGCGGTGGGTCGGCGGGGCCTCCCTCTGCGGGGAAATCTATCTGGGGGCCCTGCAATGGATCAATCCACAGAGGGAGGCCCAGGCCAGCCAAGCAATTGCACCCCACTCCTGTCACCTGCAGAGGGAGGCGACCGGTGGCAGGGGAGGGGGTGCAGCACTCCACAGATGGCAAGCAGTGGCAATGGCGGGGGCAGGGCCAGCTGCTGGCAGCCAGGGGAAGGAAAGCCCTGATAGGCCCTGATCGCTGGCCAGGCCTAGGGACCCTACCTGAGGGGTCCTTGATGGTGAGAGGGCCCAGGCCGGGCTGAGGGACACCCTTCCCCCATGCATAAATTTCATGCACCAAGCCTCTAGTTTTTTGTTTTGTTTTGTTTTAAATATATTTTATTGATTTTTTTACAGAGAGGATGGGAGAAGGATAGAGAGTTAGAAACATCGATGAGAGAGAAACATCGATCAGCTGCCTCCTGCACACCCTCCACTGGGGATGTGCCTGCAACCAAGGTACATGCCCTTGACCAGAATCAAACCTGGGACCCCTTAGTCTGCAGGCCAATGCTCTATCCACTGAGCCAAACCGGTTAGGGCAAGCCTCTATTTTTAATACAAATTTAATTCTTTTTCTAAGAGGAAAATGTCTTACCTTCATATATTTCAAATAAGATTTTTAAAATTTTGCATTTTCAAAATGTAAACTCCATAATATTACAAGTTATCTGTCTTTTTTTAAAATATATTTTATTGATTTTTTACAGAGAGGAAGGGAGAGGAATAGAGAGTTAGAAACATAACATCGATCAGTTGCCTCCTGCACACTATTCCCCACTGGGGATGTGCCCGCAACCAAGGTACATGCCCTTGACTGGAATCGAACCTGGGACTTTTCAGTCCACAGGCCGACGCTCTATCCACTGAGCCAAACCAGTCAGGGCGACAAGTTATCTGTCTTATTCTATATTCTTAACACCTAGAACTCTGTCTGACAGATAAAAATATTTTTTAAATAAATGAAAGAATGAATGAATGAGAAAAGCATGGTAATCTTTCTATGACTGTGTTAAATAAGGCATCGCCAACAAATGAAAATACATAATTTCAATGAGTACAAATCTGTGCTTAATAAAAGAGAATAATAGAAAATGATTTTGAAGCTGATGACAGAGAACTTCAAAACTGTGTCATGGCCCTGGCCAGGTGGTTTGGTTGCTTGAAGCATTGTCCTGGACAACAATAGGTTGCGGATTTGATTCCCAGACAGGACACATATGGGAGGCAACTGATGGATGTTTCTCTTTCATATTTCTCTCTCTCTCTTTCTCTCTCTCTCTCTCTCTCTCTCTATCTATCTCTCTTCCTCTCTCTCTCTAAAATCAATAAACATATCCTTGGATGAGGATTTTTAAAAAAACTTGTGTCATGAATTTTATAGATAACTCGAGGCCCAATGCACGAAGATTTGTGCCAGAATGGGCCTTCCTTCCCCTGACTGCCGGCACCGTCTTCGCTCCGGCCAGAGCCACCTTTCCACCTTCCCACGCTGCCCAGAGGCCTGGAGCAGCCAAAATTAATCATTACGAACATGAAGTTTCCTTTTACTATAAAGTTAGACATAGGTAATTTAGGCATTTAAATGTAACTATACTGATTTTAGGACATAAAATCTGTGTTTAACTAAAACTATGTTATCACTTTGCTTTTTTTTGTCTCTTTTTCATGGAAGTATAATGCAAAAACATTTCCAGGTAACTAACCATACACTGGTTGTAGAATACCAGTTAATCAAATTTTGCTATTCAAACACTTTTGATTTAAAGAATTTTATAGATGCTTTGATAAGCTAGCAAAGAAAAATTCTATTTAACAATTAATACTATATTAGCAATTCCATAGGTACAGATCCCTATCTATTAAATGACTCTTTGTAATAAAGGCCTTGCATAGGTGATAACTGCATTTTAGACCATGAGAAATAAATAGGAGAAAAACTATCAACAAAGCAAAAGACAACTTACTGAATGGGAGAAGATATTTCCCAATAATACATCCAATAAAAAGTTAATATATAAAATATATAAAGGACTGATACAACTCAACACAAAGAAAACAAACAGTCCAATTAAAAAATAGGTAGAGGATCTGAATAGACATTTCTCCAAAGAAAACATACAGATGGCCAACATATGAGAAGATGCTCAACGTCATTAATCATTAGAGAAATGCAAATTTAAACCACAATGAGGTATTACCTCACCTGTGAGAATGGCTATCATCAATAAATCAACAAAAAAGTGTAGGTGAGGATGTGGAGAAAAGGGAACCCTCGTGCACTATTGCTGGGATTGCAAACTGGTGCAGCCACTATAGAAAAGAGTATAGATATTTCTCAAAAAATTAAAAGAGCTGATTTATGACCCAGAAATTCCACTTGTGCATCCAAAAAAAATTCAGAACACTAATTCAAAAGAATATGTGCACCCCAATTCTCATTGCAGCATTATTTACAAAAACCAAGATAAGAACGTAACCTAATGTCCATCAACAGATAATTAGATAAAGCAGATGTGGTACATATACAAAATGAAATATTAC